TATAAATATATATATATATATTATTTTAATTATTTTTTATATTCACCTTTTCGTTGATGCTATTGTGAGATAATACGACTTACTACCAAAGACTGTTACACCCAGATATTCTACTGATATGATCAGTGGCGTAGCTAGGGCTAGTGCCAACCAGGGGATGCCGAGAATTTAGCCGCCCACCGTCGCCGTCCTCGAAAAAAAAACTCTTCAGTTGGTCCAAAAATGTCACCTCTACACAGAAAGAAAAAAAGTGCCGCCCTGTAAATACACCCCCGCTTACCCCCCTTCTACGCCACTGGACACGAGCAGACGATTGTCTTTAAACCCTGTTAGCCTATAAATATTTAAATAATTAGCATGCTATGGAGAATTTTTCAAGGGGGATACAACTCCATGTTCTGACTGTAGAACGCTATTTCAAAGGTTGTCAGTTACCTCCAAACAGATGTGTGAAATGACTTAATCTATTTGATAACAGTCACCCTGATAAAATAGACACTTATCAGATAAAGTCAATCAAAATAGTGACATATGATTATTCACGTTTGTGATTAAGTCGCCTGTTTTAGAAAATAACGTATAATCCCTTTCCTGCTGTACTCCGTATTGGTACAATGGAGAAATAATTAAATCTATTTTTAAAAATAATTTTTACGTGGTCGAATAAACTACCCTAAGTCATACTTGCAGGGCCGGACATAGGCTTGCTGAGGCCCTAAGCTATACAACGTCCAAAGGCCCTAAGCTATACAAGTCCAAATTCACTAAGCTGTACAAAGTCCAAAGGCTTTAACCTATACAAAGTCCTAAACTATACAAAGTCCAAAGGCTCTAAGCTTTACAAAGTCCGAAGGCCCTAAGCTATATAAAGTCCAAAGACCCTAAGCTATACAAAGTCCAAAGGCCCTAAGCTATACAAAGTCCAAAGGCCGTAATTTTAAAGTCCAAAGGCCCTAAGCTACAAAAAGTCCAAAGGCCCTAAGCTATACAAAGCCCAAAGGCGTTATTTAACCTATACAAAATCCAAAGCCCCCTACCGTTTTGAATTGCCTCAGCTGGTCAAAGGAACATTTTAATGATCTAGACTTTCAAAACTAGTGATGCGCACAGTTGATAATTTTATCTAATCTTTTTTTGGAAACCATTAAATAATTCACAAATCTATTGTAATACACATGTTATGTTAATGAAAAGAAATAATTGCGATGAAAAAAGAAGGACTTAGATTCTGGGTTCATAAAAATAAAAACATAGACAAGACCAGAAAAACCTAGGGGTGGCAACACTGGAAAGGACAGTTAATTGCGTAGTATTGAGATTGACCCCAGATACAGTATTGCATCCTAATTAGATTTAGATGACAAACAGCCCCCCCTACCCCTTTTGCTTACAAGGCAATTATTTTGAGGTTCCGGGAGATGGTGAGGACCTAAGCTGTAGCTTATTTAGCTTATATGTATATCCGGCACTGTATGATACTTGTATATAACACAGGTGCAGGGACGATTCGCACTACGATGCTGAGATGCGCTGTGTTCACAAATGCAGCAACTTCACGTGTCAACAGAACGAAGAGTGCTACATTGGAGGAGGTGTGTTGTTTACTCCCATATGCAGGTCAGTCAATGAAACAGCCAAAGCTCCATACGAAAAACGTAACTTTTATAACAGGGATCTTTGGGAATTTTCTTTTGATTCTACTATAATATGTTTAAGTATTGGGCTAATGAGAATACTAGCTGAATACACTGGTTTTGCTAACGATGTTTGAGGAAAACAAATACAGAAGGATGTGGTTTTCTTGGTCTTGTCCAATCAGTACGAGGCTCAAGAATAACTTTTCTTTAAAAATGCATGATTTTTTAAGTCTGGATGACGCTGGGGGAGGCTAACGTAGTAACAATATTCTCCACGGCAGAAAATAAGAACATTCTGGAGAGCGCTGTAAGCGCGATGATCTTCAATGAACCGCTTCAACTTAGTGTCTCTGCTGTGACAATAAAGAAATAAAGCTGGTTTGTTGTTGGGGGTGTTCATTGCCTCTATGTCCTACTGACGTTTTGTTGTTGGGGGCGTCCATTGGCCCTATGTCTTACTGCTGGTTTGTTGATGGGAACGTTCATTGGCCCTGTGTCCTTACTGCTGGTTTGTTGTTGGGAGCGCTCATTTTCCATATGCCCTACTGCTCGTTTGTTGTTGGGGGCGTTCATTGGCCCTATGTCCCACTGCTGGGTTGTTTTTGAGAGCGCTCGTTAGCCAAATGTCCTACTGCTGGTTTGTTGTTGGGGGCGTTCATTGACTCTATGTCCCACTGCTGGTTTGTTGTTGAGAGCGCTCGTTAGCCATATGTCCTACTGCTGGTTTGTTGTATGGAGCGTTCATTGGCCCTATTTCCCACTGCTGGTTTGTTGTTGGGGGCGTTCATTGGCCCTATGTCCTACTGCTATTTTGTTCTTGGGGGCGTTCATTGGCCCTATGTCCTACTGCTGTTTTGTTGTTCGGGGTGTTCATTGGCCATATGTCCTACTGCTGGTTTGTTGTTGGGAGCGTTCATTGGCCCTATGTCCTACTGCTGGTCTGTTGTATGTGGCGTTCATTGGTCCTATGTCCTACTGCTGGTTTGTTGTTGGGAGTGTTCTTTGGCCATATGTCATACTGTGGGTTTGTTGTTGGGAGCGTTCATTGGCCCCATGTCCTACTGCTGGTTTGTTGTATGGGGTGTTCATTGGCCCTATGTCCTACTTCTGTTTTGTTGATGGGAGCGTTCATTGGCCATATGTCCTACTGCTGGTTTGTTGTTGGGAGCATTCATTGGCCCTATGTCCTACTGCTGGTTCATTGTATGGGGTGTTCATTGGCCCTATGTCCTACTTTCTAGTATGTGTTAGAGTTCTTAACTAATTCATATTTATTCCCACCGTTAACAAACCCCCCCCCCCCCAAAGCTCGGCCCCTGGGGAATTTTTAGGACTCTCGATTTTTGTAGACATTAGTATGTGTTAGAGTTCTTAACTAATTCATATTTATTCCCACCGTTAACAAACCCCCCCCCCCAAAGCTCGGCCCCTGGGGAATTTTTAGGACTCTCGATTTTTGTAGACATCATGACGAGATGAGCCGTTAGGTTGTCACCAATGCCGCATAAGAGATTAGCCGTTAGGTTGTCACCAATGCCACATATGAGATGAGCCATGGGGTTTTCACCAATGCCACATATGAGATGAGCCATTAGGTTGTCACCAATGCCACATATGATATGAGCCATTAGGTTGTCACCAATGCCACATATGAGATGAGCCGTTAGGTTATCACAAATGCCACATATGAGATGAACCAGTAGGTTGTTACCAATGCCACATATGATATGAGCCATTAGGTTGTTACCAATGCCACATATGATATGAGCCATAGTTTGTCACCAATACCACATATGATATGAGCCATTAGGTTGTTACCAATGTCACATATAATATGAGCCATAGGTTGTCACCAATGCCACATATTATATGAGCCGTTAGGTCGTCACCAATGCAACATATGATATGAGCCATTAGGATGTCGCCAATGCCACATATGAGATGAGCCATTAGGTCGTCAACAATGTCACAGATCTGTTCTTTATATTTACTCCCCCCAAAGCTGCATCTAGTCCTCTCCTAAACTTTTTTCAATTTAGTGTGAGTTAATTAATAGATAATAATTGATGGATTCAAGATACGTGAATGAAATAGTGAAACTACGCGTCTAATACTTTATTACAACTACATCAGGGACCACCATTAAATTAAAAGGAAAACAAGACAATTGCCATTCTTTAAATAACATGATTTACAAAGAACTATTATCTTGTCCGATTCAACTCAATAATCAAACCGAACTGACAGGACGATTCAACCCAATAATCAAACCGAACTGACAGGACGATTCAACCCAATAATCAAACCGAACTGACAGGACGATTCAACCCAATAATCAAACCGAACTGACAGGACGATTCAACTCAATAATCAAACCGAACTGACAGGACGATTCAACCCAATAATCAAACCGAACTGACAGGACGATTCAACCCAATGATCAAACCGAACTGACAGGACGATTCAACCCAATAATCAAACCGAACTGACAGGACGATTCAACCCAATAATCAAACCGAACTGACAGACCAATTGATCTGAGTCTTAGGGTGATATTTAAACGTTAGATGCGTGTCGTAATAACTCAGACAGAGATATTCTTGTTGTGGGAGCATCATTCGCAAAGATAAAATAGCGCATGATCAAATGCAGCGTTAAACGTATAAACGTGACCAAAAAATAAAACCAAAAAAACAACCCTAAATTACGCTCCCAGAACAAACAGTTGATTTGGAATATGTTATTTTTTGGCCCCTTAAAAACTAAACCCCAACCAAAAAAAAAAAAAAAAAAAAATGTCAGTGCACGTCTAAGGTCTAATGAGATACAACAAAGGTAAAAAAAAAAAAAATCAACTTCAAAGAGCTTTCTGCTCTTGAGATCTCGTTGTAAGTCACTAAGTGAAAGGTGAATTGTAAATGTATAAAATATAATTAATTGAAACTGTAAAGTACATGTAAAGAGAGTTAATAATTGTGCGCGCCAAATTTTATTTAATCGGTCGATGGAAGACTTCGTGCGGAAATGACGTCATTTACTCTTAAGAAAAATAAAAGGGAAACATAATTACTTTTTTTGTTTTCTAAAAGTTTTCCCTATTTTGTAACATCTATAGCAGTAAGCAGCTGGCCGGCCGGTGTTTGAATGCCTGGTTGTCCTTGAAGTCTGATTGGCTTGAAAAAGTTTTAGAGTTTCTTAATTATGGCATTAATGTTTCGGAGCGGTGTCGTAATGAGAGGGTCATTACTGTTATCTTCACTTACGCTCAGCGGGTCTCAATCAAAACCATCTTTGCTTTAAATACACGATTCTTCTTCTCCTCTGGCACAGATGTAAGACAAGTGACAAGTACATCTACGGTGGCCCTGACTGTTCGGTTGCTCAGGAGAAGCTGGCGCTGGGATCTAATGAGATTATTGCCGTGGCTGTCAGTGTGGGACTAGCCGCCGTCATCCTAGCAGTGGTTCTCACATTGGCCGTGGTGCTGTGCGCGAGACGAGGGTAAGTTTGGACATGTTGTATGTTGTTAAATTATTGGTTTGTGTGGTAAGAGCCCTAGAGCTGGTATGAGAATCTCTCAGAAACAGCAGGCGGATATTTGACCAGACGTATATCTCAGCAATGATAACAGTTCAATTAAACGCGGATGTCAGTGGATGTAAAGTGTATATGAATCAAATTATCAGTGAAATTTTGTTAATTCATTACTGTGTAAAGAACCTATTTTGCAATGACATTTAAAAACCAACTGTCCTGTGGTGCAATATTTATAGGACTAGGACAGCATTTTGGAAAATATGAAACATAATAATGTGATAATGCGTTCAAACTACTTACAGCTTTACTCTACTTATAAAATGGAATTGAGCGTATTTCATTTGCCACATATTGTGAGATTTTTTTTCTCAGTTGACAGCGAACCTTGCGTATTGTCCACAAATTGTGTTTAAACAAAATAAGACATTGGCAATTCATCAAATTACAAGAGAGCTGAGAACCCTGGTGTGACGAGTTGAATGTATTTTATATTGGAGATCTTCTAGAGTCGCATACGTTCACAACTTGTTTCATTGAATACTCCCATTTGACGTGGTGGTATCCTTGAGACGGGCTCATACCTCTTGTTTCTGAATCCAAATTTTTATGAACTTTACAAAACATACTTTGTGGTTGCATGAGTAATTTTCTCATTTCTATTCTTTCCTTTCTCTGTTTTTTTTCCCTAGTGCATCATTGGTTTGACAAAATAAAGTCTAAATCCTTTACACATTAAATTTCCCTTTTCGCAGAAAAAGAGTTGAGTATTTCGACAACAACAGCCGCCCCACCACCTCACAGCTTGAGGACAAAACCTCCCTGTGGAGTAGCCGAGCCCCGATCCGCGTCTACAACCAGACGCCCTACGACAACATCGCCCACAACACCACCAGCCTCACGACGCAGGGGCGACCAGACGGCGTCACGGGAAATCTTGAAAACCAGGGCCTCAGTCCAGATTATCATAGTCCCTGGTACGAGGAAGCGCCCAACAAAGGAGAACATGGCGTTTTAAGACTAGGTCACTCGGGACGTGGTCCACCACTGGCTTACAACCCAGCCACCATCTGGCCCAATCGTTTCTCCTATTGGAGCGATGAAGGGAGGGACTCACCATTGTAGAATAGCTCTCAAAGCAAGTAGAAGTCATATGAAAAGAGCTACTTGAGTATTTAATCCATTCTGAAAAGTCATTTGGGGCCAAGTGAATAGAAATCTTACCATGGTTATTTTAATTATGATAATTAATGCTGTTCAAATTTATTTTTTTAAATTCCCAATGGAAGGAGTGTCGGTGACCATGCAGCGGTGTGCTACCAATCAAGCCACTATTGCTCCGGTACCCAACGGTTGTAGAAAAAACGCCAATGTGTTAGTGTATTTTTTTATTTTTAAACAAAATTATTTTGTATATTTTTGACAACAGGTTCGGTAATTAAGTCAAAATTTAACAACCGGTTCATCCGAACTGGACAGAACCAGCTTCATCACACCGCTGTGACCAGGGCTTACGAAGTGGAATCTATCGTTTGAGAAACTTGTACATTTTAAAAAAAAAAAATTAACCCATTGCTATCCCCTGTGAATTCGTGAATATCATGTCGACCTCTTGCATGGCTGCACCGACGTTATTTAAGTTCTAATCCCCTACTGCAAGAGTCCCAGCATTGTTATACAACACACACGAGGAAAGGTTTTAATTTCAAATTTTTTAGTTTTTAATTCTTGTTTTTTTTAATTTGTATATTACAAAGGAAGTCAATGAACAGCAGCAGAGCCGCTCTCTTAAGATTCCTTCTTCTCTAGTGTTGTCCCTGGGCGTGTCACGGGGAGTCACCTTATCGTCAGCTGCTTGGGTTGATCTAAGGTCGATAGCATGGGTATGTTCAGCCAAGTGTATGTCTCGATGGGAGGGAGGCAGGGGCGTAGCTTGGATTAGTGACACCCTGGGTGGGCCAAGATTTGTATCCCCACCCCCACCCTTTTTTCACGAACAAAAAACTCTGCACTTTGTCCGTAAACGTCCTCTCCACATACAAAGTAAAAGTTGTCGCCCATGGCTCTTACCGCGCCCTTCGTCGCCCGATTCCTACGCCACTGGAGGGAGGAGATAGTAACACACAAAAATTTGTTTCTTTTATGTGCATGGTCTCGCCCATGTTGTTTGATGAATGTAGATACAATGTATGTAAACATGTCAGTTAATCGGTTGCAATATTGACGTTATTCGTCTGGTTGTTTCATAACTTATTTCAGGGGTCGGGAACCTTTTTGTCTGAGAGAGCCATGGACACCACATATTTTGAAAAGTAATTCTGTGAGAGCCATGGACACCACATATTTTGAAAAGTAATTCTGTGAGAGCCATGGACACCACATATTTTGAAAAGTAATTCTGTGAGAGCCATGCATTATGTTTCAAACTAAAAATTCATGTAAATGTGTGCATTTTGTGTCATTTCAACACTAAAAATGCAATAATTATGTCTCTGAATTCTTTTTAATAACATTGTTATGCTGTTGCTAATCAATAATGAGTATTTCTTACCATTAATGCTACTTTCTTTTTTTTTTTTATGTGTCGAACATTTGTCTGCGAGCCAGATGCAGCCATCAATAGAGCCACATCTGGCTAGCGAGACATGGGTTCCCGACCCTTGACTTATATGAACATAGTTGTCTTCACGCTATACATTTTAACATTGTCAGTTTGACACACGCTGTGATCTATAACAGCGGTTCTCAATCTTTTTTTCCTTTCGTATCCCCGGATAGATTTTTACTTTATGATTGACTCCCATCCCAGGACCGCACCTAAAAGGGGGGGGGGACGACGGCGACGACAACCATGGCACTTATCAAGGGCCTGCAACCATGGCACTTATCAGGGGCCTGCAACCATGGCACTTATCAGGGGCCTGCCCTTCTTCGAGTTCTAAAATTTGCGCACATGTTTGAAACACGAAAGGGGCCCGAACTCTGTCAGCTGCCTGGGGCCCAGAATTTCCTAGGTGCGGGGCCTGCCCATCCTCTTTTTTTTCCCTTTACCCCTACTCATCCATTAAAAAAAATTTAGAAACCTATTAGCTAAATCAGTGTTTCTCAACCTTTCTAATACCAGCGACCCTTTAATGCAGTTCCTCATGTTGCGGTGACCCCCAACCATCAAATTATGTTTCTTGCTACTTCATAAATATGGGTTTTCCGATGTTCTTCGGTGACCCATGTGTAAGGGTCGTTCGAGCCCCAAAGGGGTCGTGACTGCCATCTTTAGAACTGCTGAGCTAAATAATACAATGAATCAGATAAACTAAGGGCACTTGTTGACTTCATTTTCTATTTGGCTGCGGCTATTCGGACCCGGGTTTCAAGATGGAGTGGTTGGGTTTATTATAAAAATATTAAAAACATTATTGTAGGGTTTGTAAGACATAATTTAATATCAAGTGAACGTTAATTAAATGGATCATTTTTTTTTCTTTTTGTTTTTTGTTTTTGAAATAACTTAGTTGAATGAAACGAATCGCAAACATTTACATCGAAATACTGGTCTAACATTTGGCCATAAAACGAAATAAATCAATCAATATCAAAAAACCTTCAACGTCGGACTTTTCTATACAACACTACGACGTTCTCATTATTAAATGTACTAGATACATATGTTTTGTGTATAAAATTAGTTGTCAATATAGCGACAAATATCGAAGTATAGCTTCATGTCAATGAACGGGTGTAAAGAAATATAATTTTTTGCATTTTCCGCCAATACAGTATAGTTTTTTCGTACCCCTAAGTGGTCCGCAGTGTATCCTCAGGGGTACACGTACCAAGGTTGTGAACCGCTGATCTATAACATCGATGCATTTTCCAACAGGAGGTGGGAAAAGTCTGAACAGACAGAGCCAAGGACAATCCATGCCGACTGAGGCCATAATAAGACTATGATAGGACTATGATAATACAATGATAAGTCCATATAACAGTGCTGGGTAACAACATCACAGCTTTATAATCCAAAAATATGTTATACATTTTAATTTATCATATTTGTATTAAAAACACATCAATATTAATTTAACGCAAATAAACAATTTTTTTTGTCAATCTTATTTGTTGTGTAGTTCATCCATTGTACATTAGAGAAGGCATCAATGAGATTAAATTGGGGGAGGGGGGGTGAGAATTACAAAGTCACTGGACTTGATCCGCCAATGCTATGCGATGATCCACAGTGTAAACGTTAGGTACCCAGCATGTAAGTGTAAGTAATATATTGGCGTTAAATCGATTCTGATTGAAAAAAATTATTGGCTTGAATAACATACGTTATTATTTCATAATAACTTTTTCCCAGCCACGGAAGCAATGGAATGCTTAGAATGTTGGAGATGATAGATACGATGTCATACTACAACATGAATCGCATGTCAGAGATGATAGATACGATGTCATACTACAACATGAATCGCATGTCAGAGATGGTAGATACGATGTCATACTACAACATGAATCGCCCAATTTACTGTTAAATATGACCAGCTGTTAACAAACAAATTATGCTCCCAGATGGTGGCAAATACCAAACTTAATAAGCTCCCATCTGCAGTCAATAAATGATGTCTAGACTACGTGCCTTTAATTATCAATGGCCTTATTCCAGGTTCCTTATTCCCTAGTACATCAAGCTCATTATTTCCTCTGTACAGCAGGTTCCTTATTCCCTTAGTCCACCAGGTTCCTTATTCCCTTAGTCCACCAGGTTCCTTATTCCCTTAGTCCACCAGGTTCCTTATTCCCTAGTACATCAAGCTCATTATTTCCTCTGTACAGCAGGTTCCTTATTCCCTTAGTCCACCAGGTTCCTTATTTCCTTAGTCCACCAGGTTCCTTATTCCCTAGTACATCAAGCTCATTATTTCCTCTGTACACCAGGTTCCTTATTCCCTTAGTCCACCATGTTCCTTATTCCCTTAGTCCACCATGTTCCTTATTCCCTTAGTCCACAAAGTTCATTATTCCCTTAGTCCACCAGGTTCCTTATTCCCTTAGTCCACCAGGTTTCTTATTCCCTTAGTCCACCAGGTTCCTTATTCCCTTAGTCCACCAGGTTCCTTATTCCCTTAGTCCACCAGGTTCCTTATTCCCTTAGTCCACCAGGTTCCTTATTCCCTTAGTCCACCAGGTTCCTTATTCCCTTAGTCCACCAGGCTCCTTATTCCCTTAGTCCACCAGGTTCCTTATTCCCTTAGTCCACCAGGTTCCTTATTCCCTTAGTCCACCAGGTTCCTTATTCCCTTAGTCCACCAGGTTCCTTATTCCCTTAGTCCACCAGGTTCCTTATTCCCTTAGTCCACCATGTTCCTTATTCCCTTAGTCCACCAGGTTCCTTATTCCCTTAGTCCACCAGGTTCCTTAATCCCTTAGTCCACCAGGTTCCTTATTCCCTAGTACACCAAGTTCACTATTTCCTCTGTACAGTAGGTTCCTTATTCCCTTAGTCCACCAGGTTCCTTATTCCCTTGTACATCAAGCTCATTATTTCCTCTGTACAGCAGGTTCCTTATTCCCTTAGTCCACCAGGTTCCTTATTCCCTTAGTCCACCAGGTTCCTTATTCCCTAGTACATCAAGCTCATTATTTCCTCTGTACACCAGGTTCCTTATTCCCTTAGTCCACCAGGTTCCTTATTCCCTAGTACACCAAGTTCATTATTTCCTCTGTACACCAGGTTCTTTATTCCCTTAGTCCACCCGGTTCCTTATTCCCTAGTACACCAAGTTCATTATTTCCTCTGTACACCAGGTTCCTTATTCCCTTAGTCCACCAGGTTCCTTATTCCCTAGTACATCAAGTTCATTATTTCCTCTGTACACCAGGTTCCTTATTCCCTTAGTCCATCAGGTTCCTTATTCCCTTAGTCCACCAGGTTCCTTATTCCCTAGTACACCAAGTTCATTATTTCCTCTGTACACCAGGTTCCTTATTCCCTTAGTCCACCCGGTTCCTTATTCGCTAGTACACCAAGTTCATTATTTCCTCTGTACACCAGGTTCCTTATTCCCTTAGTCCACCAGGTTCCTTATTCCCTAGTACATCAAGCTCATTATTTCCTCTGTACA